GAATCAGACTTACTCTGCTCACCTCTCTAGCTTCAACAGCACAAGGTCTGCTTCGACTATCAAGGCACCCCGGAAATAGCAGGTAATAAGATAGTGACAAACATACAAAAGAAGTAGAGGAAAATGACAATAGTAAGGATTAGGAAAGAAAAAGCAGCAGTTCCATGTTGCAGATTAGGCACAGTTATGGGCGTGACATGAATCAGCCCATTTACAATTCTACTGTGCTTGAACGAGATATATCCCCCCTTTGGGAATGGCCTAAAGACACTTCAGTCAGTGGCACCTCCCCGGGGGGAAGATATAGAATTTGAATTTTGACAAAACGTGTCTTGAGAACATAAAACCGACACCACCGATAAATAAACTGAAATTTTCAACAAAAAAATTCACAATTTTATTTGTCTTAGTACACGTTAATTACTGGCCGACGATGCTTCCTTTAAATCTTATTTTACCAGCTTAATTATGTCATTCCCCCAAGATCGAGTGTGATTTGCAGTCACAGTGGTTGTATGTTCGTGTATGTCCTAGTTGTTATAGGATTATGGCAAGTTAAGCTAACCATCTCGTGCTCGAGGGAACAAAATTAAACAAATGTGAGGCAGCGTGGTGGAATCAGGCTCTCGACAAAATAATCAAAATGAAAAAACTTGGATTTTTCCGCAGGTTTGTGAATTTGTATAGAATTTTTGTTTTTTAACTCAACAACTTTCATGCCCATTAAAGAACTCATTTCTGTGTGGATTTTTCTGAAAAACATTGATTAAAGGCACAGAAAATGTAAATTTTAAGTTACCAAGGACTTTTAAGCTAAAGAAATAACTAATCTTTGAGGCCTTTTTCTCACTAATTTTGCTCTCAAAATAGATGACCCCCACTTCCTTCATTCACAAATATCTCGACTTGTATTCAAAATAAATGTGTATTTTTTTCATACAAATAAAGACAAATGAACAAGCTTTAAGATGACACCAATAACTCGACATGCCCAAAAATTGACGAGAGCCTGATTCCACCACGCTGCCTCAAAAATTCCCTCTCCGCCCGCCTTGGTCCTGACAGGCAGGTCAAAAGCCCGCCTCCTAATTCATCTAAGATTTTTGTTGATGGGGACATAAAAAACACCTACATAAAATAACGATTTTCGATTGAGTAGGAGTTTTACGGCACCATCGAATCAACTCTCTAAAATAACGAATAATGGGCTTGTGTGAAAAGAAAGGTTCTTCACTAATTTTTACAAACCCAGAACAAACCCACAAAACACACAAACGCACCAACAAGTCCTTGTGTGATCCCTGTAGCAGATACACCACACCTCTAGTTTAGATTCCTGTCCGCGAGAGGAAGTCAAGCAGAGCAAAGGTCTGCCGCTTTATGAGGGGGAAACGGAGCAGTTGAGCGAGATCATATACCCTACTGCAGATTACACTGACTCATACTTCTTTACCGCCGGCGGTGAAAAAATCTGGAAGCAGACCTGCTCTCTCTCTCTCTCTCTCTCTCTCTCTCTCTCTCTCTCTCTCTCTCTCTCTCTCTGG